CGATTCCGCCCCGGGCTAGACTGTGAGCACTTTGCGTTTATTTTCGCGTTAGTGTTTTCTTTGTGTTTAGGTTGGGTTTGCGTTAGTGGTTGCGGTTTGATTTGGTTCGTTTTTGTTCTTTCTTTTTTCGTTTTTGTTTGTCTTTTTTTTGGGTTTGTATTTGTGTTTTTGGTTGGTTTTGCGTTTGGATTTGGTTTGTTTTTCGTTTGCTTTTTCGTTTTTTGTGTGTTGTTATTGGTTGGTATTGGTGTTTGTGGTTGTGGTTGGGTTTGTTGTTAGGTTTTTGTTTTCGTTTGCTTTTTTGTTTGTTTTTTCTTTGTGTTTGTATTGGTGTTTGTGGTTGTGGTTGGGTTTGTTGTTAGGTTTTTGTTTTCGTTTGTATTTGTAATTGTGTTAGCGTTATGTTTGCGTTTTGTTGTTTTGGTTTTGGTTGGTTGTGGTTTGGGTGGGCAATGCCGGGTTTATGATGATTACTAAACACACATGTCTTTAACAGAAAGGTTTTTCACAGAAGCCAGAGCAGGGCCTGGCCGGGACGGCTAGTAAAAATATATATTTCAAATTTGAAAGTTCTCTCCCGCCTAGAGTGAGAATAAAATCACTCACCGCTGGGAAAGGACATTTACAATTGAAGCCGAGTTTCTTCAGAGCATCTGGGCAATCGATCTCCGCCATTAAGGTGCACAGGCCTGAGTAGCTGCATGAGCCCAGGGATCCAAAGCATTTGAGGTGGTGCCAAGACTTAGTTTTTTGGTTCTTCTCCCACACGTTCAGCTTAGCCTGGGGGAAAGAGACAAAAACAAGTACAGTTTTAGGAAACCGTTGTGATGTGAGATTAGCATCTGGCCAACTGACGCTGGAATGTAGGATTAGCGTCTGACCAACTGTCGAGTGACCATTTGCAGTGGTCACTGACCTCCCCATTTGACCACTAGCTCGCCAATTCAGACATTCCCAAGTACCCCCACTACTTAACATTGCTTTCGTTCTTTATAATCAATTTTAATTAAATCTACATTTTTTTTACCTGTAAGGGAGCTCCAAACTGGGATTTGATGGCAATATTTCCGGAGACTTTTGCTACTCCTGGCAGTTTGATCGGATCAGGGGAGATATGTACATTACTCAGTGGAGCGATTTCGGCTTTTGGGTCGGCGCAGTTGTTAAAGGAAAAATTAACCAACTGAGTTTTCTGGGGAAGGTAACCAAACAGTTCTTGAATGATGAAGTAATTGTTCGCAGCTAATTAAAATAATTTTATTATAATCAAGTCTGTAAACTAGTTCTAGTCACTCGTAGATTAAACACTCAAACATCAGTGAAAGATCAGCTCTATAGAATTGAATATTTGAAGTCACTTTAGTCACGCTCAATAAAATCTAACGCTAAATAAAACAAGTAGACTCTTCTATCTCACGCTAAATAAAATCTCACGCTAAATAAAATCTCACGCTCAATAAAATCTCACGCTAAATAAAACAAGTAGACTCTTCTATCTCACGCTAAATAAAACAGGTAGATCATCGTAACAGGTAGCCAACTTTACCTCATGTTTAATAAAAAAAGCAAATTTAAGAAACAGGGTGCTTACCTTGGCCCCGACATTTTGATTTCCGTTGCTCATAAATTTCAGGATCGAATCGGAGCGTGTCTCCATCTCGTCTGTGTCCAAATGGTACCCAGAGGCATATGCCACTAGTGCCAGGACAAAACATAACCTGTTCAAAATGTATTCAAACTTTTTTAACGTTGCCATTTAAAGTAGTATTCAAATACAGGGCTCACGATATGCAGTGTTTCTTCCAGACTTTTTTCTCTGGGGGTGAACTTAAAATTTCAGGGGGGGGGGGGGGCGGACATCAATTTCCGGGGGGGGGGGGGGCGGACACTGTCAAAAGTATATATTTTCTATATAAATACCATTTCGTTCGGGGGGGGGGGGGCGGTAGACTTTCTTCGGAGATGCCTGGAAGAAACTCTGACGATATGGTTTAATGAGCCTACAATGGTAATAATCAGGTCTCCGTCAAAACCAGATTAAACTTTCAACACTTTTTTTTGTCGCCCAAACATCGCGCAGCATATACTATATATATATAGTTATATATATGTATGTGTGTCTAGAATATCCACGCATATATAGGCAGTATTCAGATAATCATCTTCAATTACATATAACCATGATAGAAGTTCTTTTAAGTATGCAGTCGCGAAAATCGTTAGTAGGAAAAATCAACGTGAGAAAATAAGCTGACATATTGTAACACTATAATATAGCCAAATCTCTGACTTGATACTTTCTTGCTTCTACTAATGCTAGTCAAAGTCTCTAAACTTATTATTTTAAGATTCAACACTTTTATACTCAGACAGGGGTTGTAAACTTCTAATAAAACACTAAAAACAAAATATTGCAACAAAACATCAATTCGCTACTACACCTATAAAACAATGACCAACAAACTACTGAAACAAAACATCAACTAACTACCACACCTATAAAACAACGACCAACAAACTACTAAAACAAAACATCAACTTGCTACTACACCTATAAAACAATGACCAACAAAATACTCAAACAAAACAAACAAAACATCAACTCACTACTACACCTATAAAACAATGACCAACAAAATACTCAAACAAAACAAACAAAACATCAACTCACTACTACACCTATAAAACAATGACCAACAAACTACTGAAACAAAACATCAATTACGCCTATAAAACAATGACCAACAAACTATTGAAACAAAACAAACAAAACATCAACTCGCCACTACACATATAAAACAATGACCAACAAACTATTGAAACAAAACAAACATCAACTCACTACTGCACCTATAAAACAATGACCGACAAACTATTGAAACAAAACATCAACTACGCCTATAAAACAATGACCAACTAACTACTGAAACAAAACATCTACTCACTACTACACCTATAAAACAATGACCAACAAACTATTGAAACAAAACATTAACTCACTAGTACACCTATAAAACAATGACCAACAAACTATTGAAACAAAACATTAACTCACTAGTACACCTATAAAACAATGACCAACAAACTACTGAAACAAAACATCAACTACGCCAATAAAACAATGACCAACTAACTACTGAAACAAAACAAACAAAACATCAACTCACTACTGCACCTATAAAACAATGACCAACAAACTATTGAAACAAAACATCAACTTGCTACTACACCTATAAAACAATGACCAACAAACTACTGAAACAAAACATCAACTACGCCAATAAAACAATGACCAACTAACTACTGAAACAAAACAAACAAAACATAAACTCACTACTGCACCTATAAAACAATGACCAACAAACTATTGAAACAAAACATCAACTTGCTACTACACCTATAAAACAATGACCAACAAATTACTGAAACAAAACATCAACTCACGTGAACATGGTGTCAGTTGTAGACTATGAAGAAAACTAGATAACTTGTAGGCTCGATCTTTAGCGTTAGCTGTACAATAGTCTCGCACTTAACTCTTTTTTAGCCGTCCCGATATCTTTTAATCAAGATCCGGCTTTAAAACACAAACCATGATCTCCAGACTGTAGACATTTTAATTATTCTAACTCGCTGCAGCCGTCTTAATTAAGCTTTTTAAAATAGGTTGTAAGTCCAAGTCTAAGAAAAAGTTAGAATTCCACGTAGAGCCTAGATATTCATGAAGAATGCAGGTAGGTGAGCAAGTCAGCTCAGTTAAGATTCGTTCATTAAGGTTGTAGGAAAAAGTAAATTTATCACCTAACTCGAAAGTTGAAAAATAAAGCAAATACAAATTTATAAATTTTGTATCAAGTATACAAATATATTAACTTTGAATCGGAACAGTACTGTTCAAAATTTAAGCTTTCATATTTCATTATGTTAATTTTGTGTCTCTTTGCGTTAGAAAATTTGAATATGTCCTCAAATTTCATTACATGCAATAAGTCATTTTCAACAGAACGTAATGCAAGATATGACAGTCGTGCTTCTACCATTGTTGATTCCAGATCAATTTTAATGCGTCTCAGTTCATGTTAAACATTTTACCACAATACAGTTTTCATGTTTATTTCTGCAATATTTAGTGTGAAAAAGGCTAGAGATTTTTGTACTATCACAAGAGGTAACCATATATTGATACACATGCACAGCGTGTAAACAATGACGTCTTTGACTTAGGAAATCTTAAGGATTTCTCCCGCTTTTGCGAGTTAACTTTGCGGTGCCAAAACGACCCCGACAAAAGAGCCCGGTCAAAAAAAGCCAGCGTTAAATGGACTCCGTCCTATAGTCTCCGAACAAAAGGGCTTCCGTAAAAAAAGCTTCCGACAAACAGGCTTTAGACTCCAGACAAAAGGACCTCATTAAATACGGTTCCCATAAAGACAATAAGTCTCCCGGTGAAAAAAAAAACCCTTCAAAATGACCCTTGCCAGTAGGACCCCTTCATCGATACTCTTCACAATTAGCTTAACCAAAACCATTAGATGTTAAAATGTATGTGGCTCTTTGTCGGCAGCCTTATTTTTACATCGTTTAGTATGAGAAAATTGTGTGTTTTTACATCAAGGGTCATCAGTCATGACGTCCATCAGACGTGTTGGATGACGTCCATCAGACGAAATGGTTGAGGATAGACGTCCATGACGTACATTGTATGTTATCAAAACAGCAATCGTTTCTCCCGTACGCAAATTGTAAATCATACATTTAAATTTAAACTTCTGAGCTCGCGTTTAAACAACAGGTCTTCATGGGTGCTAATAACAGTTAACACATTATAAAAATTTCAAAAATTAGTGGCATTTAGAGGCGTAGCTTGGGGAGGGCGGGTGGGGCGGCCGCCCCTTGCAAGCGCCAAAAAATTATCTAAATAAGTGGTTGCCTTTTTTTTACTATAGACATTTTCAAATTCATTTTACATTGAAAAAACAAGCAAACACAAAACATTTTTTAAAAGATTTCTATATGGTCCATTTATTATTTCTCGAATGCAAAAGAAAATGATTATATGTAGTCTTAATATTTAATTTTTTTTATATATATATATATATATATATATATATATATATATATATATATATATATATATATATATATATATATATATATATATATATATAATTTCTTTAGAACTATGCCTAGGTAGTGTTGCAGCTAGTCGACGATATTGATATCAACTTGGGCGCAAGTCACTAGTTTACCACCAGAGGTCACCGTTGCCTTGATCTTAAATTCACCATTGACAGGTATAGGGAATTTTTCTAGTGGGATCTCTAGCTGCGGGATCGTGAAATTGCCCTGAAAAAAAATATTGATAAAAAATCATCTTGTGTTTAGGAACACTTTTTTCTACTCGGCTTAAACTTGAGAGAACGATACATAAACACCAACTACAATGCCTTCATGCTGTTGGCATTTTTAAAAAAAATGTTATTCTCGTTTTCAGAAGTTAATTGTGTTTGTTAAATGTTTGCATAGCTCCTAAATTTTTGGGCAACACATTAGACTGTATTTAATTAGGCAACTTAATCTTGGTTGAGCCTAATTTTTTTTTGCCACTATAGACCCCTCCTCCACACACACACACACGCACGCACGCGCACACACACACACACAATTGCTATCATATTAGCTAAGTAAACAAAAGAAAAATTACATTATCTGATGTAGAAACGGAAAAAATGAATAAAAACAACTGGCCACCATTTACATTTTTAGCTAATTTAACTTTAAAAAAAAACCTAATCGGAATGTCTGAACGTTAGTGACAGTATAGTGGAGACAATTCTTAAAATAATAGCTACATAACTGAGACTCAGGTTAGCTAAGCTATTAAAAAAAATATATATATATGTTTCAAATTCGAAAGTTCTCTCCCGCATAGAGCGAGAAGAAAATCACTCACCGCTGGGAAAGGACATATACAATTGAAGCCGAGTTTCTTCAGAGCATCTGGGCAATCGATCTCCGCCATTAAGGTGCACAGGCCTGAGTAGCTGCATGAGCCCAGGGATCCACGGCATTCGATGTAGTCCCAAGACTTAGTTTCTTGGTTCTTCTCCCACACGTCCAGCTTAGCCTGGGAGAAGGAGACAAAAACAAGTATAGTTTTAGGAAACCATTGGAATGTAGGGTTAGCGTCTGGCCAACTGAAGTTGGAATGTAGGATTAGCATCTGAACAACTAAAGTTGGAATGTAAGATTAGCATATGAACAACTGACGCCAAAACCTTTGTAGGATTAGCCCCTGAGCAATTTATTTGTGAACCGTTGGAATGTAGGGTTAGCGTCTGGACAACTGACGCTGGAATGTAGGATTAGCATCTGGCCAACTGTCGTTGGAATGTAGGATTAGCATCCGGCCAACTGACGCTGGAATGTAGGATTAGCGTCTGACCAACTGTCGAGTGACCCATTGCAGTGGTCACTGACCTCCCCATGTGACCACTAGCTCGCCAATCCAGACATTCCCAAGTACCCCCACTACTTAACATTGGTTTTGTTCTTTATAATCAATTTTAATTAAATCTACTTTTTATTTTTACCTGTAAGGGAGCTCCAAACTGGGATTTGATGGCAATATTTCCGGAGACTTTTGCTACTCCTGGCAGTTTGATCGGATCAGGGGAGATCTGGACATTGCTCAGTGGAGCGATTTCGGTTTTTGGGTCTGCGCAGTTGTTAAAGGAAAAATTAACCAACTGAGTTTTCTGGGGAAGGTAACCAAACAGTTCTTGAATGATGAAGTAATTTTTCGCAGCTAATTGAAATAATTTTATTATAATCAAGTCAGTAAACTAGTTCTAGTCATGCATAGATTAAACACTCAAACATCAGTGAAAGATCAGCTCTATAGTATTGAATATTTGAAGTCCGTAATTCCCACAGGACTTCAACATGGAAAATATATAGATCTATCTATTTTTGGGTAAACGTCACGCCTTAGGGTTGCATAAACGTCAGTCATATGTAGCGTTCAAAGAAACATGAAATGTTTTATCTTTTCAAATTGATCGGCACTTTATTCTCCTCTCACGCTAAATAAAATCTCACGCTAAATAAAATCTCACAAATAAAATCTCACGCTAAATAAAATCTCACGCTAAATAAAACAGGTAGATTCTTCTATCTCACGCTAAATAAAATCTCACGCTAAATAAAATCTCACGCTAAATAAAATCTCACGCTCAATAAAATCTCACGCTCAATAAAATCTCACGCTAAATAAAACAAGTAGACTCTTCTATCTCACGCTAAATAAAACAGGTAGACTCTTCTATCTCACGCTAAATAAAACAGGTAGATCAACGTAACAGGTAGCTAACTTTACCTCATGTTTAATAAAATAAAAAAAGCAAATTTAAGACACAGGGTGCTTACCTTGGCCCCGACATTTTGATTTCCGTTGCTCATAAATTTCAGGATCAAATCGGAGTCTGTCCCCATCTCGTCCGTGTCCAAATGGTACCCAGAGGCATATGCCACTAGTGCCAGCACAAAACATAACCTGTTCAAAATGTATTCTAACTTTTTTAACGTTGCCATTAAAAGTGGTATTCAAAGACAAGGCTCATGATATGGTTTAATAAGCCTACGATGGTAATAATCAGGTCTCCGTCAAAACCAAATTAAACTTTCAAAACTTTTTTTTGTCACCCAAACATCGCGCAGCATATATTATATATATATAGTTATATATAATTATGTATGTGTGTCTAGAATATCCACGCATACTTAGGCAGTGTTCAGATGATCATCTACATTTACATAAATCTATTATAGAAGTTCTTTTAAGTATGCAGTCGCGAAAATCGTTAGTAGTAAAAATCAACGTGAGAAGATGAGTTGACATATTGTAGCACTATATAGCTAAATTTCTGACTTGATACTTTCTTGCTTCTACTATTGCTAGTCAGAGTCTCTAAACCTATTATTCAAGATTAAACATTTTTATACTCAGTCAGAGGTTGTAAACTTCTAATAAAACACTAAAAACAATATATTGCAACACAACATCAATTCGCTACTACAACTATAAAACAATGACCAACAAACTATTGCAACAAAACATCAACTTGCTACTACACCTATAAAACAATGACCAACAAACTACTGAAACAAAACTTCAACTTGCTACTGCACCTATAAAACAATGACCAACAAATTATTGAAACAAAACATCAACTCACGTGAACATGGTGTCAGTTGTAGGATGTGAAGAAAACTAGATAACTTTTAGACTGGATCTTTAGCGTTAGCTGTACAATAGTCTCGCACTTAACTCTTTTATAGCTGTCCCGATATCTTTTAATCAAGATCCGGCTTTAAAACACAAACTGTGATCTCCAAACTGTAGACATTTTAATTTTTCTAACTCGCTGCAGCCGTCTTAATTAAGCTTTTTAAAATAGGTTATAAGTCCAAGTCTAAGAAAAAGTTAGAATTCCACGTAGTGCCTAGATATTTATGAAGAATGCAGGTAGATGGGCAAGTCAGCTCAGTTAAGATTCGTTCATTAAGGTTGTAGGAAAAAGTAAATTTATCACCTAACTCGAAAGTTGAAAAATAAAGCAGCTACAAATTTACAAATTTTGTATCAAGTATACAAATATATTAACTTTAAATCGGAACGGTATGGTTCAAAATTTAAGCTTCGCAATTAAATTATGTTACTTTTGTGTTTCTTTGCGTTAGAAAATTCGAATATGTCCTCAAATGTTATTACCCGCAATAAGTCATTTTCAACAGAACGTAATGCAAAATATGATAGTCGTGCTTCTACCATTGTTGATCCCAGATCAATTTTAATGCGTCTCAGTTCATGTTGAACATTTTACCAGAATACAGTATTCATGTTTATTTCTGCAATATTTAGTGTGAAAAATGCTAGAGATTTTTGTACTACCCACAAGAGGTAAACAATGATAGATATTCACAGCGTGTAAACAATGACGTCTTTGACTTAGGAAATCTTAAGGATTTTTCCCGCTTTTGCGAGTTAACCTTGCGGTGCCAAAACGACACCGACAAAAGAGCCCGGTCAAAAAAGGCCAGCGTTAAATGGACTCCGTCCTAATGTCTCCGAACAAAAGGGCGTCCGTAAAAAAAGCTTCCGACAAACAGGCTTAGGACTCCAGACAAAAGGACCTCATTAAATACGGTTCCCATAAAGACAATAAGTCTCCCGGTGAAAAAAAAACCCCTTCAAAATGACCCCTTGCCAGTAGGACCCCTTCATCGATACTCTTCAAAATTAGCTTAACCAAAACCATTAGATGATAAAACGTATGTGGCTCTTTGTCGGCAGGCCTTATTTTTACATCGTTTAGTATGAGAAAATTGTGTGTTTTTACATCAAGGGTCATCAGTCATGACGTCCATCAAACGTGTTGGATGACGTCCATCAGACGAAATGGTTGTGGATAGACGTCCACGCCGTACATTGTATGTTATCAAAACAGCAATCGTTTCTCCCGTACGCAAATTGTAAATCATACATTTAAATTTAAACTTCAGAGCTCGCGTTTAAACAAAACGTTTTCATGGGTGCTAATAACACATTATAAAAATTTCTAAAATTAGTGGCATTTAGAGGGGTAGCTTGGGGAGGGCGGGTGGGGCGGCCGCCCCTTGCCAGCGCCGAAAAATTATCTCAATAAGTAGTTGCCTTTTTTTACTATAGACATTTTCACATTCATTTTACATTGAAAAAACAAGCAAACACAAAACATTTTTAAAAGATTTCTATATGGTCCATTTATTATTTCTCGAATGCAAAAGAAAATGATTATATGTAGTCTTAGTGTTTAATTATATATATATATATATATATATATATATATATATATATATATATATATATATATATATATATATATATATATATATATATAAATTTCTTTAGAACTATGCCTAGGTAGTGTTGCAGCTAGTCGACGATATTGATATCAACTTGGGCGCAAGTCACTAGTTTACCGCCAGAGGTCACCGTTGCCTTGATCTTAAATTCACCATTGACAGGTATAGGGAATTTTTCTAGTGGGACCTCCAGTTGTGGGATCGAGAAATTGCCCTGAAAAAAAATATTGAAAAAAAATCATCTTGTGTTGAGGAACACTTTTTTCTACTCGGCTTAAACTTGAGAGAACGATACATAGACACCAACTACAATGCCTTCATGCTGTTGACAGTTTTTAAAAATGTTATTCTCGTTTTCAGAAGTTAATTGTGTTTGTTAGATGTTTGCATAGCTCCTAAATTTTTGGGCAACACATTAGACTGTATTTAATTAGGCAACTTAATCTTGGTTGAGCCTAATTTTCTTTTGCCACTATAGACCCCCTCCTCCACACACACACACACACACACGTACGCACGCGCACACACACACACACACAATTGCCATCATATTAGCTAAGTAAACAAAAGAAAAATTACATTATCTGATGTAGAAATGGAAAAAAATGAATAAAAACAACTGGCCACCTTTACATTTTTTAGCTAATTTAACTTATAAAAAAACCTAAGCTGAATGTCTGAACGTTAGTGACAGTATAGTGGAGACAATTCTTAAAATAATAGCTACATAACTGAGACTCAGGTTAGCTAAGCTTTTAAAAAAAAATATATATTTCAAATTCGAAAGTTCTCTCCCGCATAGAGCGAGAAGAAAATCACTCACCGCTGGGAAAGGACATTTACAATTGAAGCCGAGTTTCTTCAGAGCATCTGGGCAATCGATCTCCGCCATTAAGGTGCACATGCCTGAGTAGGTGCATGAGCCCAGGGATCCACGGCATTCGATGTAGTCCCAAGACTTATTTACTTGGTTCTTCTCCCACACGTTCAGCTTAGCCTGAGGGAAGGAGACAAAAACAAGTACAGTTTTAGGAAACCGTTGGAATGTAGGATTAGCATCTGGCCAACTGACGCTGGAATGTAGGATAAGCATCTGAACAACTGACCCCTAAACCCTTGTAATGTAGGATTAGCCTCTGAGCAATTTACTTGTGAATCGTTGGAATGTAGGGTTAGATTCTGAACAACTGACCCCTAAACCGTTGGAATGTAGGGTTAGATTTTGAACAACTGACCCCTAAACCACTGGAATGTAGGATTAGCATCTGGCCAACTGACGTTGGAATGTAGGATTAGATTCTGACCAACTGACGTTGGAATGTAGGATTAGCATCTGGCCAACTGAAGCTGGAATGTAGGATTAGCGTCTGACCAACTGACGCCTAAACCGTTGTGATGTGAGATTAGCATCTGGCCAACTGACGTTGGAATGTAGGATTAGCGTCTGACCAACTGACGCCTAAACCGTTGTGATGTGAGATTAGCATCTGGCCAACTGACGTTGGAATGTAGGATTAGCATCTGGCCAACTGACGCTGGAATGTAGGGTTAGCGTCTGACCAACTGTCGAGTGACCATTTGCAGTGGTCACTGACCTCCCCATGTGACCACTAGCTCGCCAATCCAGACATTTCCAAGTACCCCCACTACTTAACATTGGTTTCGTTCTTTATAATCAATTTTAATTAAATCTACTTTTTATTTTTTACCTGTAAGGGAGCTCCAAACTGGGATTTGATGGCAATATTCCCGGAGACTTTTGCTACACCTGGCAATCTGATCGGATCAGGGGAGATCTGGACATTGCTCAGTGGAGCGATTTCGGCTTTTGGGTCGGCGCAGTTGTTAAAGGAAAAATTAACCAACTGAGTTTTCTGGGGAAGGTAACCAAACAGTTCTTGAATGATGAAGTAATTTTTCGCAGCTAATTGAAATAATTTTATTATAATCAAGTCTGTAAACTAGTTCTAGTCACTCGTAGATTAAACACTCAAACATCAGTGAAAGATCAGCTCTATAGTATTGAATATTTGAAGTCACGCTCAATAAAATCTAACGCTAAATAAAACAAGTAGACTCTTCTATCTCACGCTAAATAAAACAAGTAGACTCTTCTATCTCACGCTAAATAAAATCTCACGCTCAATAAAATCTCACGCTAAATAAAACAAGTAGACTCTTCTATCTCACGCTAAATAAAACAAGTAGACTCTTCTATCTCACGCTAAATAAAATATCACGCTCAATAAAATCTCACGCTAAATAAAACAAGTAGACTCTTCTATCTCACGCTAAATAAAACAGGTAGACTCTTCTATCTCACGCTAAATAAAACAGGTAGACTGTTCTATCTTACGCTAAATAAAACAGGTAGATTCTTCTATCTCACGCTAAATAAAACAGGTAGACTCTTCTATCTCACGCTAAATAAAACAGGTAGACTCTTCTATCTCACGCTAAATAAAACAAGTAGATCAACGTAACAGGTCTAACTTTACCTCATGTTTAATAAAATAAAAAAGGCAAATTTAAGAAACAGGGTGCTTACCTTGGCCCCGACATTTTGATTTCCGTTGCTCATAAATTTCAGGATCGAATCGGAGCGTGTCTCCATCTCGTCCGCGCCCAAATGGTACCCATAGGCATATGCCACTAGTGCCAGGACAAAACATAACCTGTTCAAAATTTATTCATCCTTTTTTAACGTTGCCATTAAAAGTGGTATTCAAATACAGGGCTCATGATATGGTTTAATAAGCCTACAATGGTAATAATCAGGTCTCCGTCAAAACCAAATTAAACTTTCAAAACTTTTTTTTGTAACCCAAACATCGCGCAGCATATATTATATATAGTTATATATATGTATGTGTGTCTAGTATATCCACGCATACATAGGCAGTATTCAGATAATCATCTTCAATTACATATATCTATGAAAGAAGTTCTTTTAAGTATGCAGTCGCGAAAATCGTTAGTAGAAAAAAATCAACGTGAGAAAATAAGCTGACATATTGTAACACTATATAGCTACAACTCTGACTTGATACTTACTTGCTTCTACTAATGCTAATCAGAGTCTCTAAACCTATTATTCAAGATCCAACATTTTTATACTCCGAGGTTTTAAACTTTTAATAAAACACTAAAAACAAAATATCAATTCGATACTTCATCTTTAAAACAATGATCAACAAACAATTGAAACAAAACATCCACTTGCTACTACACCTATAAAACAACGACCAACAAACTACTAAAACAAAACATCAACTTTCTACTACACCTATAAAACAATGACCAACAAACTATTGAAACAAAATATCAACTACACCTATAAAACAATGACCAACTAACTACTGAAACAAAACAAACAAAACATCAACTCACTACTGCACCTATAAAACAATGACCAACAAACTATTGAAACAAAATATCAACTACACCTATAAAACAA